TAAGGCGCTGGACTGGAATAATGTGAACTAGATATTAACTATTAAATGCCTGTTGTTATTTTTGCCACTCTGTGTTATACGAATTGACTCGAGAACAGCCAACTGGAACACATAGCAATTTGTTTATTTTCTTAAAGTTACACATCCTGAGGCTGTACTGCCGGAACTTCTGAACACAGATATGTTATAATTCTATGAGTCTCCCGACTTGAGGCACTAAATCCAAGAGGCACGAACAGTGGCAAGCATTGTGCCACACAGCAGCCGCACAAAGGCGTCGCCGGCGCTGTAGTAGCTGTAATTGAAAACTTTTCACTAAGGACAATTTGTGGCATCGCCGACGACGGCACACCGCTGTATACATTCTATAAAATATATTTTCAATAGTTACATTTACTTAACATTACTTTATTTGTACAGTGTCGGAGAAAAGTTAAAACATAATTGATTTTGAAATACACAATACTGCATACTAACTATTAAATTCTAAAACTTTTTTAACAATAACTTCACGAGTCAGTCGGTGGTCGGTGCACAGAATATAATCGTGTTGGGACTGTATACATGTCGTTAAATATTTAACGACCGCATCGTAATATTAATGTACTAATATTTCATATTTATAGAGCTCGCGCTAATGGATAATTTTGATAACGACCTGCGCCATGGAAATGTGCCACAATAATATGTACCTTACTAAACGTGGCTCAATATCAACTTAATTAAAATCTAATAATTTGTCTAAACTATTGCGTATTTTTTACACGAAACCATCTAATAAAATAGTCAACCTGTTTGTAAGCTGACGATGGAGCTTTTAGCTCTATTTGTAAATTTCTAACGACTTTAAATAAAATCACACTTAATTATTTCTATTAATATAGAAGCTAATTTAACAGTGGTACAGCGCGCTTTAATATCTTTGCACTGCAGGGCTGGCTCGCCCGTTGTAATACCACGACCACACAGAAGACAGGCGTGAAGTGGAAGCAATTCCCCGTTTCGTCTGATGAGTGTGGTGTCGGCGGCCTAATTTTAGTCTTTTTCCCTTTCCACCGTTTTCTTAAGAGGAAGGGATGGGAAGAAAAAGTGGATTTGACGTTGGTGGGGACGCATAGGATGGGGAAATGACCTCTTTATGTGCGTCCACTCCTCCGTCAATGAAGGGTAGGCAACGGTCGCTTTCGTTTCGGTGGATTCAGGTGGCCGCTTGCTCGTTTGCCACCTTATGTTATAAAAAAAAAGCTACCGTTTTTAATGCCATTGAATAGATGGTTGGGATCATTTTGATTAATTATCATTTTAACATACCACAATGACCAAAGTAGCAATTTTACTGTGAGTGGAAATGGATTAGATTTGAATCCTAATAATTAATGAGAGGTGTTCAGTGAGAGGGCCACTGAGCCTCTGAACGAGGCAGCAGCTGCACCGCCGCTCTTTATTAATAGACATTATATTTTACGCAAAATTCACCTTCCGTGACGCTTCGTTGCAGAGTCTGACATTGACTCATGAAACGGACTTTCTCTCTCGTAAACTTGCTTTCTACAGCTTAACTCCACTGGAAGGAAACGTGTTTTAACATTAAAGATAAATATTGGTCATTGAATACTATGCTTGTGTACTATGTTTCTTTCAGCTTTCTGTACCTACATCCTACATCAAGATCGGTACTTCGGCTTTCGGTATGGCGCAGGCGGAGCCTTGCATATCTAATTGATGACGCTATAAACCTGCGCCAAAACGGTAATTAAACGATTTTAAAACCTTTGCTCCCTAGCAAATCTTTTGGTTGACCTCGCAACATTTGAGAATTAACACAAAATGTTCTACATTTTACTCTGAAACAATGTGAAGAAAATCCGCCCACTGCCTTGTAGAATCAATTATAACAGTAAATTCATTACGATATCCAAAAACAAAACTGCCAATAAAAAGCTGCTGCCATCTCCGCTGTCTGTGGAGGTCGCAGTTCACTTACCTCGGTGACGTTAAGAAATAAACTGAACAATAGATGGTCTCATAGTAACTACGTTAGAATTAAGTACTTCATTTCAAAACACAAAACATAATCTAAAATGCCCTGATCATTAACGAGCTATCGATAGCAAAATCTGAGCCAGTTTCGAGAAAGTTGTGCAGAACAATGCAGGAAATACTTTGGAAGTTTCGATCAAACAATTCCATCGAACCTTGTACTTTATTAATGTAAGTTTCGAAATATCAAAACAAAATTATGTCTTCGCCAGTTAGAGCAGTTTTCGAGAAAACTCTATAATAAGCACTGATTGGGGAACAATGAGTATTACAAACCTCGCATACCTAAGACTACATGGAGACTCTGTTTCGTTATTGGCCGACACTATTTAACTGCCCATATAGGCATTACAGTGGGAGGCGAATTGCGACTGCGATGCAAAGCCTTCGGGATGTAAGTTATCTTTATTCGCAGACCGCACTTGAAGTCAATTGACGTGATTAATTTAAAAGAAATAATTTGTGAAACTTACATTTTGATTTACTCTCCTATTAATCGAATATAAGGAGGTAGGGGACTGGGGAGAACGTTCTGACAGTGTCCCCGTCATCAGTTGACACACGACCACACCATAGCAAACTGATTTAGCGATCAGCTATAAGAATATTGACCGCAGAACGGACGGCCGGTAGGGCCGAAGTATCCTGGAACGGCGGCCACGGATAAGTCGTCGCAGCGTAGATAGGCCTCCCGCAAGATGGACCGATGACCGGGTCAAGGTTGCAGGAGTGCACTGGATGTGGGCGGCACAGGACCGGTCATTGTGGCGATCAATTGGGGAGGCCTACGTTCAGCAGTGGACGACCTATGGCTGAACATGATAATGAGGATAAGAAATAAAGGAAAGTTAGCTTTAGCAAGCTAGGAGTTAGTAAATTTCAGTTTTTAAAATAATGTAGACGTTTACGTCACAAAAAGCAATCTCAGTTGCCGAACGTACTTTAGCTTACCTACTTTCCGTTCTATTTATTCACGAAGAAGTAAAATATTTTAAAGAAAAATTGCAATACAATGAGCATTTGCGATTGCAGTGCAGATTGCAATGAACCAACTCTTAAACCTACTATAGTAGTTATTTTTGCAATAGGTAGACAAGTTAAGCTAAATAACGTAAACATGTATCTACGGCATCCACAGAACATGAGTGTAAAATCTGCTATCCTATTTATAATGAAGAGAGATTAATGCTCAATAGAGCATTGATCAGCTCCAAAGCGGATGTCCGGCCAAAACAAGCAAACAGAGGCGTCCGTAAATCGACTCTCAATACATCTTGATTGCGGGGCAGACGCGGTGCCGACTCAAACCATTTTAAGCCTTGTGCGTCAGAGAATAAGTGCTAGATTCTCTTGAGACATTGAGTGCAACAACTAATATGAAGTTACGATATTGCAGCGTAATGCTCTATTCAATGATACAATCCGATGCTTCTGAGGGCGAAGAGAAAGGGGCGCGGCGCGCGGGGCGAGGGGCCATCTCCTCGTCGTAATTGACGCGAATCCTTCATGTTTACACAAATTACAGATATTGTGTTATTGAGATGGACATAGATGTTATGGCACAGAAGAACAAGCCTTTTTCGTTCATTTTTAAATTCGGTTTAATATTTTGCCATCATCTTTGACATTGAAGCGTGGCTGCTCCGCGGACTGCGCCACGCTGCGTCACGCTGCGCCGGCGGATACTACGATTCCTTTCATGGATTTTTAATTATTTGCCAAACATCCGTCGTGGAAATTAGTTGTTAAGTAAACAATATTTCAAGGGTTTTCATAACGATTACAAAGATATCATTCAAATATTTCACTAAGTGAAAAAAATATAAAGTTTATTATGACAAAGTCCACAGCGTTCGCTGAACATACGATTTTCTTTAATTAAATGGGCATTACAGCGGGAGGCTAATTACGATTGCGATGTGAAGCGGCCAACTCACGCGGGATCAGCTGCTCGCACGGATAATGAACACAATTATCTTTTAATCTGCAGACCGCAATCCGAAGACAATGACCTAAGTGAATTTCCGCCCGATACAGCCGCACCCATAATAAACAGATTTTACTGACCAAAGTATAATTATTACAATCATATAATGTTAGAAATTTACGTTTTCTAACATTTTTTGTACAGATCTAAATAGATGGGTAAAAGTTGGTAACTATTTCTAAAATTATCGCAGTACCTACAAGATGTGGTTCGAGGTTTTTCTTTGCTTCTTTTCAAATGTTATTGTTATCATTGTCAGACCGCACTCGCCCGGTTCTTCAGTCTGACGATGTAACAATTAATTTCATCTGTTTTCATTAAATTATCGGACTTGAATCGCGCGATGGGCGTGGGGGGGGGGGGGGGGTAAAGGGGCGCATTAACATCTGTTAAATAGACAAAATAAAAGAGTAAATGCAATATAATATGTATCTATATTTTACAAGTAATATATTTTTAAACATCATGAGTATTATGTTATACAAAAAGCTAATAAACGATTGCATTTATAGTAGTTAACATATAGTATTTTATGGTTATAGTTTTGCGAGAAGAAGAGACACCTGACACCTGACACCTGTCACCTGGTATCTGGTAGCGGTCGGCACACCTCCTCGCTTATGCGAACTCCTTGACATGTGTCGATGCGCTGCTTGTCGTATGACGATGTAATCATTGGGTAAAGACTGCTTTATTTGTGGCCGACTTTCCAAATAAAAGGGGTACTCAATTCGTCTGTGTGTTTTTTAATTTTTTTTATGTGTGTTATACACATTTAGATAGTACCTATTCTGATAAAAATACAACATTTACTTCGTTATTACGAGTTGATGTCGCAAGTAAACTGGAAAACATCTGTAGATAACTATGTCAAATCGCACACATTTTAATAGCTATACATACATCGCAATGTAGAAAATTTAAAAATTGACTACAATAAAAAAGAACAACAAAAATCATATAATTATTTCTGCTTTCAATGATAAGTTTCTAATGAAATGAGTTACAGTTTTACATTACAGAAAGCAAATAATTCGCTAACTAAAATACGAATAGTAGTAGAATTCCCCAGGATAAGCCTTTCAATTAAAAATTTCAAGATGATGATTCTACTTAGATTTGAAAGATATAATTAGTGCAGTGGTCAGCGCGGTTGAGGGTCGTGGGATGCGAGGCGGAGCGCCGCGGCTAGTACACCTCGACGCTCTCCTGGTGGTGCACGGTGTCTTGGCGGAACAGCTCGACGTCGGCCTGGCTGTCCGCCTGCACGAGCTGCGCGCGCCCCTCCTGCGAACTCTCTACGTGACACATCCCTTGCCCTGAATCCCCACCAACCCCCTCCACCGTACAGAAGACACGAGTGAAGTGCCAATACTATGTGTGTCAATTCTACTCATACTTCATTCCCTACGCTTTTGTTACTAAATATTTAGAATTTTATTTAGTAACAAATAACTCAACTATACGAGTATAAGAATGGAACGGGAAAAAATGCGGAGCAAGGGATGTGTACTAATTAATAGTATCCATTTCCTACATATCCTCTTCTATCCTTTAAAGTTAAGCGACGCATCTGCTAACCATCCTTTTATCTCATATATCCTTACTGCAGATGTACTATTTTAGTGACTTCATATAGGCAAAAAATACTTGGCAATTTTAAGCAACTGCGTTCATTTCAGCTACTTAAAATCGAATTCTATATCCCTTCTCATTTATTTCTTTTCTTTTCTCTATACAACATTTATTCACTAAAATTGTGTCTCTTACCTTGGGGTGCATGAGTATGAAGGGCAACTCGGCGCTGAGCTCTCCGCCTAGCGCGCCCAAGTACAGCTTCGCTTTCACGGTGTAGCTCACCACGATGCCGAACGCGTCGCGCTGCTCGGGCTCCAGCAGCCTGCGCCCACGCCCACGCCCACAGCCACAGCCACGTTCGCGACAAAGTCCGACACCACATAACAACACTTTGATTTAGTTCAAAATAAGAATGTATATAAAAAAATAATTATCTTAAATGAAGGTTACCATAAATAAAACAAAAGTCATGAATTCGAGTCTTACTAAATAAAAGTAATGATGTCGTATAGACATCCATTATTTTGTTATAAACGAATGTAGGCTCAGGAAAGGAGAATACATGCGGTGTGGACACTGACAGAGTAGTGGAGGCGAGCGTGGTGTCGTGCCGCTTGAGCTGGGCGTCGAGCGCGATGCCGCGGCGGTCGCGCAGCGTGCCCAGAGCCGGGGTCAGCGCCAGCACCTTCTGCAGGCTGGCGCCGGGCTGCAGCGGGCACCCGTCCCTGCGGCACAAAGTTGCGTCACTCCGCGCAGGGGACAGGGCAGGGGCGGGTATGCTGGGACGGCAGAGCAGCACTCACTGTGTCTCGACGCTGCACACGACGTTGCGGTACTGGCCGTTCTGTAACAGCAGCACATCCACGGCTTGTTGCACGCACGCCTTGATCTTCTTCACCACCTTGTTGCTGTGGTTGCGCACGCAGATGTTCACCGCGATCGTCTCGCCGTGCATGTATAACTGTTGTAGGTCGGACAATCCGAGATTAGTACTCTGATTCTTGATTACCTTTTTCCAAATCAAAAAGTGGTTATTTTGAGAAAAACCATAATAGATATCGATGACTTTTTGTAAAATTTTTATGGTCTATCTACAATTCTGTCACATGAACGCGTGCGGATAAACTCTAATTAAAAATTATATCTCATAAAATTAAATAGAAATAGATACAAAGTTATCTCATTTAATCTACATACATACATGTAGATCTTATTCGAACTACAGACCACGTTCGTTTCAATAAACTTAACCTGAAACATCCGCACACAGGCCAGGCGCGGCCGAGTTTACAAGGTTTTTACTACATAATTAACGGAATATCAGCGGCAAGGGTACTAATATGAGATAAGAGACGGATAGTCATTAGAAAATCCGAAGCTGGTCACTAGTTGAGTCTAAAAAGAATCTTGTCGTAGTGACAGCGGCGGTGGCACCTGCTTATCCAGCGTGAGCTCGAGCTCCAGCTGGCCGGGAGAGAGCACGAAGTCCTTGCGCACGACGGTGCAGGGCTGCGGGCCCGGCTTACTCGGCGCGAACTGCACCTTGCGGATGCCCAGCGCCACCGTGCTCCTGCAGACACCGCATCGCACTACCTTTAACTCCATTCAAGCTTTACCCTCTCTTACCTCTCAATGACTTGTTTGTCGTCTAACCATATTCACTTTCACTTTTATCTACAATCTTAACATGGTTTGTCATCACAAATACGAGCGACGGTGGTATATGGTGAGGAGGGCAACAGTACCTGCGATGCGATCGGTCGATCTCGCTGTCGCCAACGAACAGCTTCAGGTAGTAATGCACGCCGCAAGGCTCGCCCTCGTCTTCGAGCGCATTCTGCAACGTGACAGAGCCGGGCGCGCCCGCAGGCACGGCCAACCGAAACGGCACTGCGCCCGGCCCCAACTTGCGCAGCAGACGCTCCTTTCGTATTGTACAATTTATATAAGAAACCCCTTATAAGCCGATCACAATAGTACAATGAGCAAAAGTAGTACCGATACCTGCGTGCGGGATGGCTCGTAGGGCAGCTTCTCGGGCGGCGGGTACACCTGCTCGGAAGCGAGGTACAGCTCCTTGTAAAAGTTAAGGCCCATCACTTCATCCTCCTCGCGCCCGTAGCGGAAAGTGCAAACCACCTGCGCGAACACGCGCCGTCCACGCGCGTACTCCTCGTCCACCGCCACCACGCCATCTGTTGTTGATCGCTACGGTCACTCGCTTCATGCATTAAACACAAATACCTACACCTCTAACTTTTTCACAACTTTTAGTTTTCTTTTAGTACCCCTCAGTAGTGACTTTCTAAGCGTAAGTTACATTTATGGCGTAATGCGACCTCACTATTAGTTTTTCGAATGTTTACAAATGAATCCATAGCATTACATCACAGCAGTCAGTGCATAATCGCCTGATTTCACTGAAGTAGCGAAGCGACGGCTGCCCATAAACATCTGGGACAAGTGTTCGACGCGTTGCCTACTAAAAATATATAGATGAGAGGAAGTACAAAAAAGGTATCTTTCCCTGTCTAAAAAGACTTCTTCTCTGACCAATTCCCCCTCCCATCTTTTTCTTATAAGAAACGGCTAGGAAAAGGGAATTTATAAGAATTTGACACCAGCTCCCACACACATCGATCAAAACGTGGATGTTCTTCCACTTGAAGTCTGTTTTCTTTGCGGTTGTACTACACCGGGCGAGCGAGCTATTCGAAATACTGTGGCGTGTGTGGGACCGACCTATGGGCTCCACGAAGGATATGTGATCGACGAACTCTCGCTTAGGCATGTAGAGAGTGAGCTTGCCGTTGGGCGCGCACTTCTTGAACACCTTGAAGTTGTACACCATGGTGGAGCCGGGCGGGTACTGTGCCTGCTGGGGTGCGCCACACGATATATACAGGATTACTCGCCAGTCCGGCTTCCCGCGCCCGCGTCCGCGTTCGCCGCGATCCTGTTAGTGCTAAGACGTTCCACGTGACTCGAGGCTTCCGACCTGCCACCCACCTCCCACCTCCCACGCCGCACAACCTGAGCCACAATTCAAGGCTGAATGTACCGTAAGGGATTTCGAGTATTATCAGCTTAACCTGAATGTCTTTGTGTCTTAGTTAAAGTTGTGTATCGTTTAGGACTTGAAATTGGCCGTTCTAAGAACTCGTTGTCTTCGATAACCTGTATTACATATCAGTACATTAAGTTGTTACAGATTGTAAACAGTGGTAGTGCCCGCTTTAACATCTTAAGCATGAATGGGCCGGCACGCCCGGTGTAATACTACGACCACACAGAAGACAGACGTGTAATGGAAGCATTTCCGTGTTTCGTCTGATGAGTGTGGTGACGGAGGCCTAATTTAAGTCCTTTTCTCTTTACCACCCTTTTCTTATAAGAGGAGGATGGGAACGGGAACTGGATTTGACGGTAGAGGAGATGCATAGGAAGGAGAAATAACTCCCTCTATGTGCATCTCCTCCTCTGTCGGATAAGGGTAGGCAACGCATCTGCAATTGCGGATGTCTATGGGCAGCGGTCGCTTCGTCATTTTTGCGGATTCAGGTGGCCGCTTGCTCGTTTGCTACCTAATGTTATAAATATATATATATATATATATATATATATATATATATATAGAAGATTCCTACATCATCCGCAATCTCCGACTGTGCGTGAGATAGGTGCGGCAAGCGCGGGCGTAACGCGAGCGCCTTGTCACACGATTGAAAGTGTGAGCTGCTGACGCCGCCGCTGCGCTTCTGACTCCTTGAAATAATGCTCAATTACTATGGGAGTCAATAGACGTTTGTCATGTTTTTTACACATTTCCGTAATTAGACTTACGCTACTATGTTTTCTCGCCATTTTAACGGTACTGTGACCATTAAAATGGCGAGAAAACATAAATCTTTGTATTTCTTTTATAACAGAAGTAGTCAACGACGACCATGGACATCCGCAACACCAGAGGAACTACAGATGCCTCGATAATATAATAATAATTTATAAAGCTGGTATTGTATTGACAAAAATTGCATGAAAAGCAAGAGTGAACAATGTCACGGAAAGAACCGTTAGTCCGTTAGTGCGATGACCGACGGACCATAGGCATATTCTAGTCAGTAGCTACGGTCGCCGAGCGCCGAGCGCCGAGCGCTTTCCACGGCGGGTGACGTCAGCGCGCGGTTGCCAGTCGCCTATAGTTCTCCTCTCCCCGCACCGCACACGCACACCGCACGCGGCACCGCCGGCGCATGAGCGTCGCGTCGTGTTTGCATCTTGCTATTATTTTATCTGAGATTGTTTTTGTTTATATTTGCGGTATCTGAGCGCGACAGCGACGGATTGTACGAGTGGGACCCGAACCTGTCCGCAGTCCACATTTATTTCACATTCACACAGGTGCCCGATTATTGATAATAATCAAACCATTTTGTGTTGCAAGGACGGTCATAGGAAGGTAAGATAAAAATTATTTAAATCAATTTCGTTCACAATTTCCCAGGAAGAATACCAATTAAGGCAAATTTTACTGTTTGCCAATCAAATAAATACATAATTAAAGATATTTCTCTCTCGCTCTCACTGTAACGGTTTTTAAAGAGAAGGTACGTAGTGGTAAGGTAGTTAGTTCTGTTAGCCATCATCGTTATCTAGCCATGGGTAACTCAACTACAATTGTTGACTTGCAGCTCAGCTTGCGTTACGCTCATATGAAACGGATCAGTGAATCGGCTCGCAGATCAGCTGTACCTGTATAGAAATATGATGTGCCTAAGTTGCAAGTCACCGGGCAGTACGCTGCCTTTCAACACCACAGTTATAGGGCATCAGCTGGCACCCGGGCATCTGGCTCACGTTAACGTCTTAGGAAAATGTCAACTCATTAGGATCTACGTATGCCATAAAAATTATAATTATTTATTTTCTAATTTCACTCGCTACAGGTAGCAACGACAAGCAACGCTCGTGATGGCGGCAGCCGCCCTCTCGGAAAGTAACAACCATACTCCGCCTGGTAATATATTTCAATTACTTAATCACAGTTGTGTAAAATGACATTTTGTTATTTACAATCCATATAATAATTGTTGCGCTGCTTACTCTGTTCTGACAGAAAATATGTAAAACCCACATCTGACCGTATGTAAAAAAGCACTGAACGGATGCAACAGATCAACGCACGTGGTTTAAACCGTTGAGGTGCGGATCAATAATTAAATTAGCAGCTCACGGCTCAACGCGGCATACTATCATTATGGGAGCCGACAAATCGCGAACTGTCTGCTGACTCGCAGCTCACGCAAATTAAACTTCAATGTACGATCCACAGGGAACTATCATAATTTATTCTGACTTATGTCCACCAACCATCCACAGGAACTGATAACGTTATTTTATGTTCGTTAAACTTTCGCCACTTTTTTAACCACTGAGCCACCTGATGAAAGTGATAATGAGTTCGTAAAATACTATGTAACCATGACAGCAGCAAATCTTATCAGACATATCCTTCAAATATATCACACTCAATATAAACTACTAAAACTAAAAAACTAAACTGAACTAAAATTGATGAATTGCAGATCGCTCACAATATAATAGACTAGCTCACGACTTCGTCCGCATGAATTCTAAAAGTTCAAAACTTACTTCTGGTACTACTAATTACTTCACCTGTTTTTCAACCTATTACCTTACCTGTCATTACCAAATTCCAAATTTCTAAGCCCGCTAGTTCATGAGGTGATTGTTCGGTTTGTCCAATTCAAATACTGTGAAGCACAATTTTAATTTACATTAATTTCTCATTATAATCTATATCTATACTAATATTATAAAGAGGGAAGATTTGTATTTTTGTATGAATTCGATTAAGGTTAAAACTACAGGGCTGATTTTAAAAATTCTTTCACCATTAGAAAGGTAACATATCTGTGAGTAACATAGGCTATTTTTGATTTGAAATGTATTTCTGGAACACGGCGTTAAAAAATCACTTAATTTTAATCTTAAGTCGAAGCCCAACTGAATTTGTAACTACAAACAGTTTTGTTTTTTGTTTCGAGCTGCGAACTGCGGGTCACCTGGCAGATCGCAACTCGTCGGCTCACAAAATTATTTATCTTGTTGAGCCGCAGCTCAAAGGGCTAAGTCTATATACACGACTACTCGCTGTAAACTGTTGACTTTGACGTTGACAATGACATTAATGACACATGTCACGCGAATTTTTTAATGTGCTGTGCCGGTCGGCGGATTTGTATTTGTTGTCTTGAATCAATTTGAATTCTCGTGTTAGATTCCAAGTGGACATAAATATAAATTACGCGTTAAGATTTTTTTATGAGGTTGAGGTGAGGTCTTGGTATGATATTCCTGAAACGTTTTCTTGTTATCTAGTAGTAGCCCGAGACTTTCCGCTTTTAAATACATGTAACAAAACTTTACCAGTGATTTTTGATATAAAAATTGTGCTTGACATAAATCGTCAAACTATCTAAATGAATTTGTATACAACAAAGACATTCTTGTTTGTATCTCTGATGTTTGTTTGTACTGAAAACAACAATGAAACAAGTCATCCATCTCAGTGCTTATTAAAATAATACATTTATGACATGATTTAAAATGAGTTCATATTCTGAAACTCTTAGTTTGCAGTCACAGTTTTTAAAAAATATATACATTTAAAATAATAACAATAATATATAACAATAATTCAAAAATTGGTATACATATTTCACTGGATGATAATGTACTTCATATGGGTCTATATATGTCTCCACTTGAATTGATGTTACAAAAATGTCTGTTTTTTATAAGACTTTGATTACAGCTTTACAAAGGTGAAATGGTTTGTATAGGATTGTTGTAATATCCAAGTTTTAGTAAATTTGAGTATTATTTTTCTTGAATTATGATCAATGTGAATCACAATTATGGACAGAATGTATTGAGGCAGTACCGGCAGTGCTGTGAGGGTGCAGTGTAATGTGTCTGCAGGCGCAGTGGAGCTGCGCGAGGATGTGCCGCTGCAGGGCGGGGGCGGGGGGCAGGCGGGCTGTGCGGGTCCGCGCCTCATCGCCAGCGCATTCGCCGCTCTCTCCCTCGCTGTCACGCTGGCGCTGCTCACTCAAATCTACTATGGAGACTATGAGGTGAGCCTCGATAGATATGCACTTTGGTATTGTATGTACAAACAACAAACACTCTTTCACATTAATTTGTGTAATATATGGCCAATATCTAAAACTTAGGAGTGTATATATTAAATTTGTAGTTTTGGTTAATATAACCACAAGATAATAAAAAGATAATCTGTAAATGTACCAAATAAGTTAATAATAAATCATTACCAATACCAAGCTTTCAGTGTAATAACAAAAAAATTAAAAACAATTTTCTCAATGGCATATATGAAGGCCTAACTCTTATTCCTTTCCTCCAAGTCATGTTCCGCACACAGCATTCAACAAGCTTTTAGGGAAACTCTTTACAGCACACAAGGGTGAAATGTATATCTCATGAGGTGCTCAACTGCATTTCCTACATCCCTTTACTTCTGCTGTGTATTTTTCTTTCAATAGGATTGTTTAACTTGTATTAAGTAAATTTGTATTTACAGAAGTTTTTAGATTGCTATAGGCAATATGCATATGACGTCAAATTGGACCAAGCTTTTTTTTTATTATTTTTTATTACTATAAAAACATACCTGTAAAGATTTTTTTTAATATTATTTGTTTAATGGCGAAATTTAATCATTAAAAAGTGTTTTTTTTTAAATTCTAAAACGCAACGCTATTGGTCGAAGCAAGTGGCATATCTAATATGGTGTCGCTGTGTTGTCAATGCGCAGTTCATTTACGTTAGT